TCCTTTAATTTATTGACTCTGAACGCAACAATGGCCCCTCCGCTCACCCACCACCCGCCCCATTTATACCTTACAGGTGCAGCACCCCCGAGGCAATCTCATCAATGTTAAATTTCAAAACCTAACGCCGATCATCCCATGTGCCCCAGTCGCTCCATGAGCTAATTTCATTCGGCGTTCCAGTTCATGTACCAGCTGAGGCAAGAGCAGATTCATTAATCTAATCGGCTAAATGTCCAGGCCTGGTGCTGATCATCTTATGTGATCTAGCCGCTCCATGAGCTAATTTCATTCGGCGTTCCAGTTCATGCACCAGCTGGGCTAAGGGCAGATTCATTAATCTAATTGGCCAAATGTCCAGGCCTCTTGCCGATCATCTCATGTGCCCCAGCCGCTCCATGAACTAATTTCATTCGGCGTTCTAGTTCATGCACTAGTTGGGGCAAGGGCAGATTCATTAATCTAATCGGCCAAATGTCCAGGCCTGGTGCTGATCATCTCATGTACCCTAGTTACTCCATGAGCTAATTTCATTAGCGTTCCAATTCATGCACCAGCTGGGGCAAGAGCAGATTCATTAATCTAATCGGCCAAAGGTCCAGGCCTGGTGCCGATTATATCATGTGCCCCAGTTGCTCCATGAGCTAATTTCATTCGGCGTTCCAGTTTATGCACCAGCTGGGGCAAGGGCAGATTCATTAATCTAATCGGCCAAAGGTCCACGCCTGGTGTCGATTATCTCATGTGTCCCAACCACTCCAGGAGCTAATTTCATTCGGCGTTCCAGTTCATGCACCAGCTAGGGCAAGGGTAGATTCATTAATCTAATCAGCCAGAGGGCGAGCCCTTGCGCCGATCGGATTGAGTGCCCCAGCCGCTCCATGAACTAATAGCATTCGGCGATTGAGTTCGTGTAGTTGTGGCAGATTCATTAATCTAATCGGCCAGACGTCGAGGTCTTGAGCCGTTTTACGCGTTAGTTTATCGAATAGTCATGCCTTTCCAAATTGTTAACTACCGATTCGTTCAGTTATTCGGCTGAATAGCAAAGAGGCACAGGATGTTTAATTGATTCGGTTAATTTATCGGATGTTTAATTTACTCATATGTAGCAAACAGAAAAGCATAAGGAATTGTCATTAATAAATTGAAGACAAATAGTATATGCAGTAAACTGAAAAGCATAGAAAATTTTCATTAATAAATTGAGCACAAATAGCAGTCATTTTACACAAGAAAATTACCTTACATTTAAATTTTCAGTAGAAGTAAAGAAATGAAAATCTACTAACAAAAACCTACAAAAACTATGCATCTAAGATGCCTACCAAAAACCAAAATATCCCCTAATCAATCTTCAGGGCCAGATGCCAGCGGCTCAACGTCTACCTGCTCGTATGGAATCGGCTGCGCCAATGTCATATTCGCGGTAGTGAGGGCTTTGAGCCAGCCGTGTTTGAAGCCCCAATTTTCGAACTTGGGCACCTCTTCCACGTAGTTTTTCAAGGCGGTGTCCTTCCTAGCTTGGAATGCTTTGGAAATCTCGGAGTCGGCTATTTCCTTTGTCTTCCTCGATTATTCCAAGTCGGCTTCCAGCTTGGCGATTACCTCATTGGCTAACTTGAGCACATCTTCACTCGCTTTTGCCCTCTCTTCGGCGGCTAGCCTTAGTTGGTTGGAATTCCTTGCTCGCTCGGCCTCAGAGTCGGCTCTTGCACATTCCTCCGCCGCTTGCGATGCCTTAAAATCAGCCCTTTGAGAGACTACCGCAACCTTGCTCTTTTCATTGTCAATTTCGGCTTTCAAGAAGCCGATCTATTCTATAGCGTCATGTTGACGGCAACCGATTTCGGCTATCCTGCCCACCGTCTGCAAAACAAGGAAATAGAGTTACAAAAAACAAATAATAAGAAATATATATATATATATATATGTATCTACGCGGAAGACTGCAGATAAGGCAAGTAATGTACCAATAAGGCTGACTGAGCGGCTAATGCAATTAACATTAGATCTGGCTTCGCTTGAAATGTGGCTCGGTCAACCGGTAGGGAGATTGAGTAGGCCATGCTCAATGCCACCGCCGGGTCCTTCAAAGCCGACGCATCAGAGGCAATTGACATATTCCTTATCCTTGGTTGAACGGTGAATGGAACAACCAAGTCCGATTCCTCAATGCGCGGCCGTTTATCGGTTTGGTCCTCATCAGGGACGACTTCTCACTCGGCGGTGCGCTTTTCCCCCCTTTGTACAGCCTCTTGATCCCCTTGTTCTACCTGTTCCGTCTCCGTCATTTCAGTCTGAGCCGTTTCTTCTGCAATAACAGGCAGAGAGGACTTAACGACGACGACGGGTGGAGTTTCTGATCGGGCGGCCTCGGCTTTCCTCTGGGCGACCATCTTTTCGGCGTTTTTCCTCCTGGCCAGTTGCGTGAGTGATTTCCCAGCCATATTCTTAGGATAAGCGCTGAGAAGGTCTCCTAAGTCTGTAAAAATGTCTTCAAAGGAGACATCCCCTCGCCCTGAGGTGAATGGAGGGTTGGATCAATTGAGTCCGGTTTCCTCAAAGGCCAAGTTTAGAGCCTCGTCTACTTTAGTTTCCGACTGGTTCGGCTCCTCGGTGACTGCTTCGGCTACTTGTTCTTCCACCTGCTCCGAATCGGAGGCTTCTAAACCAATCTGCCTTAGGTTTTTTAAGTTGGGAAAGATAAGGGTTGTAAGATGCTCTTCGCCTCTCGAAATTAGAATGTTGTCTGCCGCCGAAAACGTTGCGTAAGTCGGCTTGTATCGCAGGAGAATGTGGGCCGCCTTCTCTTGTTTCTGAAGGCTTGGACAGCCAAAGAACTGTAGTGCGATTTTAATTTCCGCAAGTACAGCGTCGTCGGTTGAAACCAGCACTTTCTTTAAATCGTTGCCTGCATAAACAAAATGGTAAGTACATAGAAGGAAAGCCGAATACATATATGATAATAAAAAAAACAAAAATGGGCTATACGGCCCCATAGTTCGCCTTTCTGCCTTGGCACGGGATCTAGGCGATCTTCACCCTCGCCGAATTCTCAGTTGCCTCGGACAACGACCATTACATCGTCAACATGCTTGCCAGAGCTGGCAAGCATAGTTACTAAGTGATGATCGGTATCTTTGGCCCTGAGAAAATAGTGTCCCAGCTGGCCAGTAGACTTGGCTAAGGCATAACAATGCCGAATTGCAGATATGCCAAGGTTAATCCTAAGGCGCCGGTTCAACTCTATAATCCCCATTATGATGCGGAAAAAGTTTACGTTGGGTTGCAATGGAATCAGACCCCAATGGCGAAGGACGACCCTAAGAAATCGGTGAAGGGGAAAATGGACTCGGCCCTCAGCGATAGATAGGAGAGGAAAGATGATTGTACTTTCATCATCCCTCTCCATATCAAGGGTGTTGTCCATCACGAGTGACAGATGGACATCGTCGGGGATGAAAAAATGGCGTCGGAACCCAGAAATACGGTCTGTGAAAAGTAGGTCTTTTAAATTTTGGCCATACTAGCAAGTTTAGGGAGAATGCTAAAATAAAAAGAAACATGGAATTGGGCTTCGAAAAGAAGGGAAAGTGAATGTGGGTCTCGCATCTATGTAAATGTTTGGTATAAAATTTTGTATTTTTTACATTGCTTTAAATTTTTAGATTTCTTAGAGACAATAGTACAGGCATTAGATTTTCACGTCAAAATGACACATTTCCATAGAGATTTTTTTTTATTTTTTTTTATGACCGGATGTTTGAGCCAACTTACATGCATCTCTACCAAATCCTAAACCCTTTGAGAACTTTAAAACACAATAATTTGAGTTTTATAAATTCATTTTTAATATAATTGATATTTTGAATTAATTTTTTTCTAGATATTTCAAATAAAATTTATGTTGAATATGAAATTCAAAAATATATTCTATTCGTGCAAATTTAAATTTAAAAACGAGACAAATATGTATATCCATGGACTAGGAACATATATACTTTTAAATTAAAAATAGAGACAAATATGTGCACTTTGAATCCTTTTGTATATAAATTGGGAATATATGTCTATTTGAGCATAAAAAAATTAGACAAATAGCTATATCTATCCCCTTTCAAATCACCTTTAAATAATAAAAAATTGAGACAGTGCTACATATAGATATATCGATGTACTTTTAAATATTTTTACATCAAAAAAAGAGATAAATATATGGAAAAACTGCAAATAAGTGATGCATTTACAAAATATTTACTAATTCAAGGAAAAACTTATAAGTTTAATTATTAAAATTGATAATTTATTTTACCTATTTATAAATATTAGTGCAATTTTCCCTAAATATATAATCATAAATTTAACACATAATACACCTAAAAATGAAAAGATGTCATAAATTTTCCTTGCCATAGCATGTGTTTCTTCTTATAACCAAGAAAGCACAATTCTTAAACCTCCGCCCCAAAACAATCTAGAATATGGATTTTTCACAAAAAATTCCATAATTTGCTGAAACCCTTCACATCCTATACAATTTTTTTTTTTTTGTTTAATTTTTTTTTATGTGATATGATAAGTTTGATGGGTCCTACCTGAATTGTGATCATTTTCATTGCATATTTATAATAGAAAGATTTTATTACATTATTCAATAATAAGTGTAATGATTTTTTAAATTTAAAACAATTATAAATTTTCATTCCTATTTCATAGCTATTAAGTATGTAATGAAAATCTTCTATTACATACATAAAATGAAGATGATCAAGTCCATCCTACTCATATAGATTAAATTAATAAACTACATATAAATACAGTGTTATGATGAATAGAATATTTCTATATATATATATATATAAAACAGCATACTGATTATTTATTACAGTACATGGGAAATAATAAATGAGCAAGGATCCTCTAGAGTTTTTTTTTCTTAAAGTTTTCTAGAGTGGTGCATTGTGTGGTTGAGATTTAATGACAAGTCACATCAATTTTTCAGCATTAAATCTCAATCACACAATACACCACTTTAGAAAACTTTAAAAAAAAACACTTTATAGGATCCTTGGTGATAATAAATAAGTGTCAACGTCGATAATAATAAAATAAAAACACCAAATGAGCACATATCACTTTTATATTATATTGATAACAAGTAGATTGATTGATTTATTAATTGAGGAGGATAAGGATGAGGAACTAAGGGCACTTGGGTTTGTGGCCGTGGGTTTTGAGGGAGGCATAACAGGGACAAGCATTCTTGTTGCCGTAGGTACCAGGTGGGACGCAATGACATCTCATGCAACACGTTTTGCATGCCTTGTTGCACACCTTCTTTCTCGACGCCTCTCTGCATCTCCTCGAGCATGCATAATTGCAATCTGTTTCATTCATTCAATCATCATCATCATTCATTCAAATCCACGTCCAAGTTTCAATTTTTACAATCAAACAACAAATGTGAACAAACTACTTTACTAGTAATAATTATCTCAGAATATTTGTGTATACGGTAATGATACATCCTACTAAAAGTGGTGCTCTAAAGCACCACTAATGAGTTAGCAAGCACTTTAAATAAAAATAAAAAATAAAAACAAGACACAAGCAGTGGGTTCCGTCCACGGTTACATCACTAGTGATGCTTTTAAAGCACTACTTTTAGTGGTCTCAAGCATTATTGTTGTGTATATTGTAGAGCAGAGAATAAGGGACTGATATTGGTGACTGGCAAGAGTGGTGATAGGATAAAGGGGAAAAGGGAGATAAGTGTGGGATGCAATTCGGAGATGACTATGGGTCATGGCATTTTGTTTCTGGGAAAGATACTGTTTGTCTCAATGCTTTAAATAGTATTTCTCGCATTTTATACATAAAGTGAGCGTTTGGGAAGAGGTTATTTTAGAGGTTTTTTTTAATTTTTTGACTATTTTAATAGGCTATTTTAGTTTTTTTGTTTGGAAAGATAAGATGAATTTTTATTTGAGTTGTTGTATTGAAAAATGTGTTTGAAATGATGTTTGAGGTTGAAATGATAAATTTGTCCCTAACCTCACTTTTTTCAAAATTGGCCTATAGGGGCAAAAGTGTCATTTCAGCCCGTAGGACTAGGCTGGCCCTACCCTTTGCCTACCCTCTGCCCTCTGCCCCTTGCTTTGGTTTTTGTTTTTGTTTTGTTTTTTTATTTTTATAAATATAAATTATTAATTTAGGGTACTATTTGAGGCTATTTGTTTTTTTGTTTTTTTTTTTTAAGGCTATTTTAGCCTCAACTTTGGGTTCCCAAACACCCGCAAAATGGTCCGTCTAATATATCTTATTCTCTTTTTGTTTTGTATAAAAAACTTTCGGGAGATTGACCAATAAGTCCCATATTTTGAACTTGTGATCCATATAATCTTATATTTTTTCTTGTAATCCATTTAGTTATTTTAGATGTGTAATAACTCATTTGCCCACCACATTAAAGTATTGTGAAAGCCGAATATTGTGGGGGCAATAAAGCCGAGTAACGGTATGAGGACAGTCAATGACAGAATTTCTATTCGGCTTCATCCTAGACGATCACAGAGCCAAATAGTCTAATCGACATTCCAGCCAGCCGAACAAAAGCCGAATAAATAAACATGCAATGGATTAAGGGTGGACCCGACCCTGAGGCCCAAAGGAAAAATATAAATAGAGAAATATCACCCAAAGAAAGGTATGTGCGAACAAGTTTAACTTGAGATATAAGCAACCAAGAGAGTATACACTGACTTATTCGTCGAAATGCTAATTTCGACACCCCCGACCAGAGTGTTCATTCCTTTTCAGGTGACTAGCTGAGGATCAAGAGCGTCCTACAGGATCTAGAGAGTATT